TTAAAATCATAGTTGATTATGAACGAACTTTCAAACCATCCAATAAGAATACGGCTAGTTATTACACCAGCTTCAACGAAAAAAATTGTTATTGTTGCTGATAATATTTTGAAAAAGATTGGTAGCAATATAGCTAATTATACACCTATAACTATGCAAACCAAGACAAAAAAAAAAAACTCAAATACCCACTAGTAAAACAATGAACTTTTTCTATTGGTATTCTTTAAAAACCTTTGGTACACTATACGGCTTTTCCAAATATTTTTACGTTCTAAGTCTTTTCCACGCTTCTTTCACGCGTAATCTAAATTAATAAGAAGCGGTTAAAAAACAGAAAAGAGTTATTGTTTTACCTGTGACCTCTTTCTAACTTGACGAAAACATAGGTATGGCTGATTATATGATTGGATGAATGCCGGCTAGTCAAAGGTGTCGAAATAAATTCAATTAAAGGGCTTGAGGGTTGTAGAATACATTATGAGTAATTTAGCCAAGTAATTCAAACTGGAACGATGATATGCTCCCAGAAATTAGCAAGTGAGATTGCACCAGTAACAATAGAACAAGCGAGAAGCAGCCTGCTCGAAGCAGCTGGCTGTTAAATATGAAAATAGCAGATTAGAAGACTATCATATGTGGCGGGAAGGGAAATTTTGTTTGTTGAAGGGGGAAAGAGTGTCGAAATCGGCTTTTCGTCGGTTCTTTATATATCGATTATAATCGGTGGCTTTTCTATTATATATATCTCTGCTTATTAATTCATGCGGCTCAACATTGTTCTCTTCTCTGGTCTCGACTCATGCTCTCTCGTTATGATCGATTGAGTGCAGGAGGTTGTAGCACGTGGCGTGTAACCCTAACCAGTTCTATCCTTTCTTTTCAATTTGTTGATACTTGTCAACATGCATTAACATAACAATTTTAACAATAAACATTAAAGTATTCATCGTTACTAAAAATATTTTTCAAATTTCTTTATTACTTTTATAAACATTTGCATTAAGAATGGTTAGCGAAACTAGTATAGATATATAGATTGTACCATAAACTCAAGGTTCTAGCAAAAGTGTGAGACAAAACATCGAAGGGAAGTTGATATTTGGATGATGAGTTTTGAATAAAGTGTGTATTATGGTTTCCACAGAAGCATCTAACAATAGATGAGGTTAGAGAAGCATGAAAAAAGTGTATATTGATCTTAGTATAGCGAAGTTTCTTTGTATAGCATTGGGTAGGTTGAAAATTAACTGCTGTAAGACGAAGTGTTGTGATCCATCTTTCTGGATTGAAATTCCAAATCTATTGGAATATTGTAAATAAAATGCATCTAGGACGACCGTATCAGGTGTAGAGCTAAGAGGGATAGGCATATTGTGCATTGAATAGATAGCTAGTATCAAGTAATATATAGAAAAATATGATAGAATAAAATCATTCAATTTTGTAAGATACCAGGCTTTAGACACCTCATAGAAGGTGTAATCTATCTATATCGTTCACATTGATATATTCCATTAATTGTTATTACATATACCCATATCATTAATACTTTTTTATATACCGTAAAATTTAGAAAATAAGCACCCTCTACTTTTTTCAACTTCAGATTAGCAGAGATGGCAATAAAATCTTTACTGAAGTTATTTCCGCTAATCTGAGGTTGAAAAAAGCAGTGCAGAGGGTGGGATACTTATTTTCTGAGTTTTACGGTATTTAAAATTTTTTAAATAAATTTGCCTGAAAAATAGCTTAAAAGATAACATTTATCTTGGAATCGTAATCATCTATAATACAACACAAATATGTGCGTAGTCTGATTATCAAGTGCATTGCAGTCTAGGATTATACGCGATATGGAAATGATCTGCAAATATATTAGAAGGGTATTCTAAACCCGATTTCAATTGAA